TTACCTAAATACACACTTACAAATAAGGTAATATATTATCAATTACTATGACTTCTTCTAAGCTGTTTTTTTTTTCTTCTCGAAAAGTTCCACTTGAAATTTGCATTCATGTATATTCCACAAAGTTGTAAATAATAAATTTCATTATCTCTATCAAAACTCATACATTTTTATTTCGACAAATTAAAAGTACTATATACAGTATTGAGTTGTCTGAAAGTAATAGGATGAAATATAGCGCAATAATATTAGCACAACGGATTCTTATCATTCTTCTTTACTAAAATTAATTTCCGGAGCACAACAGATTCTTACAATTCTTGTTCACTAAAATTAATTTCCGGATGAATACAGTGAAGAGCAAAGGAATAGTTTGGAAAACTAATTAACAGATAATTATTGCTAATTAAAATCTTATATGAGATTATAAAATAATCTGATGCTAATCAATTTTAAACGTGAAATAGTAGTGCGGACCGATAAATAGCCGAATTATCGAATTAACTGGGTGATGTTCACTCTACAACAGATCAGTCTAATCATGTTCCCAATCATGACGGGATTTATCCCAAATATCATATTCCGATGGTTTATCCCATAAATCGGTTTCATGCCCATAACCATGCTCGTTTGTAGTAACCCATCCATTGTGATGTCCATGATGATGATGATGATGATGATGATGGTGATGATGAGGAGGAGAAGGAAGAGTAAGAGAAGGAGATTCCGGCAAGATATCATGATGATAATGTCCTTTATGTGTTTTATGTCCTGAAAGATAGCACTAAAAGCAATGATACTAAATACTGGGGATATGTTCAGGGTGACCTTTAACCTCGTCATTGTTTGAGCGATCTTACCCGGAAACTTTTTATATGCTGTAATAAATATTATATGGAAACACTGTACCTTTAGAATAGTCTCTCTCATTCTCATGTTCATATCCTTTGTAGAAATTATTGGCCCAACCATCGTGAAATTCTCCACCTTGTTCGTGAGAATCAAGACCTTTTGCATTGTTGTGATATCCCTTTCCATGTTTACCCCAACCGGATGCTTTATGACCATCTGAAAAATTAATTTCAGGAAATATTCCTCTCTAAAATTCGCATAAATGTCATTTGTTACAAAATATCTTGATGACATCGATCACCTGATTCATGATCCTTTGAAGTATGATGTAAACGATCAGCTCCAATTTTTTGACGATGTTTTTCATCTGTGTAAAATTGTTCCACATGATATTCTGGTTGTTTGTAATGATAGTCAAAGAATCCGAATGTTTTTGCTTTGACATCTGTAGAATGTCGTCATTTTGAGCATTGTTAAAGTAATCTTTGATTGTTACACAATGAATGATTATCTTAAAATTATTTTTTCTTTTGATAGATTAAAATTAAATTGATATTCGAAGTTCTAAAAAAATGTTACTACTAAAATTATCGATTTAAAAATGATACCTTTCCCAGTGGTACTAGCCTGATCAATATGCTTTGATGCACCTTTTTTAGCAACACCTGAAGCATGTTTACTAGCACCAGCTGCTGACTTCAAAGCATGCTCTTCTATTTCATGTTTTATTGCATCTTTGAAGTTTGTCGAATCCTTTTCCTGATATCCATCATTCTTGATTACATATCCACTATCATGTTCATCATTCCAATTATCCCATGCAATATCATCTTTATCCTGCTTTTTCTCATGTTCCGGAATTGGTTGCCATCGAGCACTTCTTGAAATTATATAGAAATTATCAATTACATCTTATGCCAATCAATAAACTTATGCTCTTTTTTTTCTGTCTCAGAAATGAATCTTTTTTTTCCAGTTTTCCGGATGGTTTATTTATTTTACTGATTACCAAAACTTTTCATCTCACCTGCAATCAGTGTAATCCTTAAAAAACTTATGGAAGTATCCGAATTGACCGATAATTTATAAAACTTATTGCATCAATTACAAACATAGAATATTAGTATATACTTCAGGAAAAGAAAAAAAGCAACATACCGTGATAATCGTAAGGAATGAGAAAGAGTGGAAATGATAACAACAAAGAAGTAAACTTTAACAAGCATTGGAGAATTTGTTGTATTTGATTGGTTGATTGATTATTGATCGATTGATTGATTGATTGGTTGGTTAATTAATTTGTATACTTCTCGTAAATGAAGAAGTATTATTAAATGAAATGATAAGCTAAAAGAGATTAAAAAAAAAAGAAGTGATTTTTAATGAACAAAATACAATTTGCTTATATATGATATTTGTAAGTCGGTCAAGGATAGTTTTTTCCAATTGTAAATTTGTTGTTGTAATTTTAATTATGCAGAAATATTTAATGAGTTATGATAATGACTGCTTCTTATAAAATTTCAAACAAGCTTCTTCTCTACAATGGATCATCATCAATGTATGGGACCAGAGGAACACGTTCTTTTCTTCATTCTACATACCATTCTGATGACGATTGTCAAAGAGAGAGAGAGAGAGAAGGAATGCTATCCTCCTGTATACACGAATGAAAATAGAGTAGAAGAAAAAAAAAGGAAACTTTTAAAACTTACCATGCCAAAAAAAAGTTTTATAGTTTAAGGAAACTTGTTTTCACTCAAACAATTCTTAAATGTATAACTTTTTACAGAAAATTGGATTTTTTTTTTTTAACAAAAGATATCCAGAAAATATTGAAGGAAACATTTAGGATAATGTTTCATTTCAGAAAACATTCTTAAATAAAACTCAACTTCATAGAGTCTTTTAAACAACTTCTAGAAGTTTGTTGAGAATACCAGTGATCAATTAATTATTGGATCAAATTTATAGAGTTATTAGGATTTCGGAACAGTATCATTACCTTATCAGATTTAGATTTCAGTGATGCCCGACTATTGTCATTTTCCGTTCGTTTTCGCCGTAATAAACTCATCGTTCAGTTTTTTTTTTTTTTGGGTTATTCAGCATATTATTGACTTAACATTAAGTTACGGCTTTTAGAATCTGCTTCAACATGTAAATTTGAAATTCACTGGAACGATGAGTTCACTGCAAATTCAGGCAAAAAACTTTGCAAAATCTTGAATAATAACCATGACTCAAAATGCTGATATTATGCATTTTGAACAAATGTGTAATCATTAAGTGACGATACTAGCACTTTTGATGAATTCTTTGTGAGCTATCACCACACCAGACTAACTGCAAGTATATAATAATTCATTTCTGCTAGTTTTTCTTTCAAACCCACCTCTTACATTAAGTGCGTTATGAGTTCAGTATTTGAAAGTTCGATCTTCAGTGCTCTGCAACTTTACACAAAAAATCATGCTGGCGGACAACATAGCAAGATCTTTAATGGAATTTCATCCATAATTGGAGTATCATTAGTAGAAAGAGATCTTGTAAAAAGTAAAATTAGAAACTAGGGAGAAATAGGAAAGTTTGCAATGCTATATAAACAATGGAATAGTAAAAAAAACAATTGTATTGCGTGGACAGTACCTAAGTATACCAAAATTGATACAATACACAGAATTAACTTTCAATCACTATAATGATATGTAAATTTACAGGGCATTAACTCTTCAGCATCAAACGTTGTATTATCTTAAGGCTCGAATATAGTAAACACAGTTTTAGTGAATTACTGGTGTGAAATCAAGCTTTTCATATCAAAATATAACTAGTCTTTACAATTCTAGTTTGAAGACTTCAATTCTATATACAGATCTTGGAACTAAATTTTAAAACTAAGATTGCGTGGTGGCAAAGTTCAATATACGTTTTCGTTTAGGAGTGAAGAATACTATGAAACAGTGGCAGTGATACAAATGAAATACGAGTACATTGCTAATGAATAAACACGAGATCTCATTTCAGTTGAAATTAAAATTTACAACATTCGTGCAAACTGCTCCAATCGATCTGTATCTGATACAGTATTTGCAACCGACTGCTGCAAATTTGACGACTGAACAACTGCTTTTGATTGCGAAATGACACCAGAAGCATCCTTCGAAAGAATATTTTTCAAACCGCAACTATCATCTCCTTCCTCTTTCATGCTTTTGTTAGTTACACTATCACCAATTTTTTTATCGAGGAACTACAAAGAGATTAGTAATCACTTCAATTTAATTGATAAAAATTTATACCTGACCAAAAGACTGATTAATCCAGTTGTGATGAATAAAAAGTCAATCTAAATGCATAAAATGACCGAACTAGCAAATAATTAAGACATCCAAAATACCTTGTCACCAGTAGGTCTAGCTAGCGAACGGCGCACAGTGATCGTTTGTGGTACATCCCAGGTAGGAATTTCAGATTTCTGTGGGGACTTTCTCTTCGTTGGCGGAGACACTGAAATCGCAGGTGTGGTTTCTCCTGAGACAGATGGCTGGTCGCCCCTAAAGTAACGAATTAGAAATTTAAGTTCGAAAATATGATGTTTGAGGGAAGTACCGAAATAACAACGTAAAAAATACAAACGTCGAAAATAATAACGTAAAGAATGCGGAAATAATCGCAAAAACTCTTTCTAGTTCCGAATTGAAAAGCAGCGTGAAAAAAGTTGCAACTGAAGTACGCACTTTAAAATTCGGGTATTCTTTTCGGAACTGTTGGCGTGTTTCCTTTTCTCCACCATCACATTGTAATCACCTCGACTAGATGGTGCTCGACTCATAGATAGATCCTCTTAAAGAATTCGAATAACAGTAATCCATCCTTCCAAATATTCTAAGTTAAATTCAAAAATGATTTTAAACCCGAAAGACAAAGATTACCAGTTGCTACTGAAGGTGCTTTCGATCCCTGTGTACTTTTTATATTTATTTCTGAAGCCTTAGCATGGCCAGCTATTTTTTGCTTTTGGAACTGAAAAAATAAAGACAAGAATGTTTCGTGAAAAGAAATAGAATATACGCGAAATCTTGCTTAGATGGATTTAGGCAATCATATTTATTAAGGGGTTATTAATGGCTGTCTACTCTTTCCCGTGTGCTGAAAAAATAATGGGACTAAGTAAATATTCAGAGTAAATATTTAGTAGATATTAACCCATTAGAAGTTGACAAAATCTTTAAATGAAAGCCAACATTAAACTACAACTCCGTTTAGCAAGTGTAATCTGACTTTAACAGTAACTTTTTGAGTTGCCATATTAAAATAATTGGGAATAAGTTTTTTTTCCTTTTTTTGAATATTATCCATTGAATCCTTAATAACTACATCAATTCACCTGAAATTCATTTTTTCCATCGACTGAATTTTTTTCATTCCTTTTATGGTTTTTCATTTCTTCCAAAATATGAACTGCAAGGAAAGAAATCATTACCGCAGAACAACAGTAAACAAACGAATATTCAGTAGTGCCAGTGCACATCATAATGAACTAGAACTAAAAACTCTTGCTACTAGTCATCACAGATTAAGACATAAGCATGAAGTCCAAATCCAGCTTATAGTGTAATTAATTAAATATTGTAGTGTAACTACGAAATGTCAATATCTAAAATTTCCGCTCATTTAAAATTTCTATGAAACATACGCGGCTTAATTATATTCCGGATACTTCCTGGGTCGATGGCAACAGATTTCGTGCAATCAAATGTCTTGTAAATACCAACAAGACGATCCGCTAACTCAAACATGTTATTCCGCAGAGAAATGATGATAAATTGTGCATTTTTGGTACGATCCTGAAAATATCTATACTTTTTCCTTCAATTTTTATCGCACGTATAGAAGTTAAACATATGTCTTGAATATCTACTCATTTCTTGCCTGGAAGTAAAAAATTAAGAAATGAATAATGAATAATGAATAAAAATGAACCCTCATGATTCACAGAGAACTCATATTTGTTCAAATAACGACAACTGAGGCGAATTGTATAGTTGCTGCTATGAATCAGAAAATTTTTCAATATTTGAAAACCACACCATAAACCACAGAAATGGATACTTTCTGTCTTGTCATCAAAAACCACTAGGTGATGAACAAATAAGCACGAGGGAAAAGAAATAAAGAAAAATTAGACAAAGCATAATTATCACCTTTCAAGAAAACAAGGAGCTTCAAAAAACTAACAAGTAAAATTTTTAAAAAAGGTCCGTTAACTAAAAAGACCAGATCAGTTAACAGATCTGTTAACTTGATTTGCATTGTTACCTTTATATAATGTCCAATAATTGATACATTTCTAAAATCCAGAGCTGCATCAATCTCATCCATGACATACAATGGTGTAGGTCGATAATGATGCAACGCAAAAACCAGAGCCAACGATGACAGCGTTTTTTCACCACCTGACAAATTAGTAATTTGTTTCCACGATTTTTTTGGTGGTCTCACACTGAAAAATACCGATACAGTTGATGGAAAATAAGAATTTTGAACTAACTTCGAATAATCAATTTCCATTTTCTACCAGTGAAATCTAGGTATAACCGATTAAAATACAGGCTTACCCAAAAGAAACACCTTCACTGAATGGATCAAGTGAGTCAACCAAATCCAAGCTAGCATCACCACCTAATGTTATCATTTGATACATTTCTTTCAATGCCAAACCAATCCGTGTGAAACCGTCCATGAATTCATTCATTCGTTGTTTCTTTAATTGCTCGCAAAATTGACGATGCTTATCACGTTTCGTTGATATATCGGATAAAGCTTCCACTTCACGGTCGTAACGTTCTAGCTAAAAAGTTTTCGAAAAAAAAGTGATGCCACTTTCTCGCCATAAAATTGACAAAAATATAGAGAATAGAAGAGATTTTCATCTAATGTCTGCCTGAATTCTAAATAGACATAACGTGATGATGGTAAGGTCCACCTTTAACAATTGATTCTTTTTGTGGCGAATCTTCAAAATTCATTACAATATACCACTCAAAGAATGAAATTTAAGAGAGAGTTTAAATCTACACAATGGCATTCTTCATCTAGTTATATTCAATACTATCGGTACACACAAATGATATTCCGTACCTTTGTGACATACTCCAGTAAACCATTTGTATTCAGCACTTTAGTAACCTTCCGCTTCTCCAAATTAGCCAAAGTAAATCTGCAAAATTTCGAAAAAATTTCGAAAAGTTTGATCACCCTTCAAAGAACTAATAATTATCTCAAAGAATTTAGAATGCTAAACAGTACTTCATGTCCTGCAGATTGAAATTTTTGATTTCTTCTTCGGAATATTCTGGCAAATCCTTGTAGCGTACAATACCGTCCTTATCAGCCTCAATAGTAATCTCACCACTCTGAAAAAAGAAAATAAGTATTAGTTGATATTAGCAAAAACTTAACACAGTTTATAATTTATTTAAAAATTTCAAAAAAGAAAATTACTTTCAATTTTTTGAAGAATTCGTGCTCAACTCTCAAAGCTTCCTGCAGTGAATAATCATCATCATCATCTTCCTCACTCGACTGAAGCGACTCCGGTAAGCGATCCAAACATTTCACATAGGACAAGTGCAATATTCCGATCTGTAATGTTGACGTTTTTAAATTATCAGTGTGAATTATTCCCAGCAAATACCATCATCACTGTAACAAAATACCTCACTATTCATTGTAAGGGCCTCATATCAGTGGAGTAAAAATTAATGAAGTACATGACATTCTTAGTTCTATGACCATGAACCTTTGTGTTATTACTAACGAACTTTCTTGGGCATAAAATATCACAAGAAAACAAGTAAACAAAAACAGTACCACTTTTCGATTTTCCTCAAATCTTTTCCACTTTTTAATGTAGTTGATTTATAAACAACTTGATCATTAGTGATTTAAGATATATATCAAAAACTTTAACCGGATTCAATTATTGCAATAAATTAAGCTTACTTTTCCTTCAATCGCAACTAATTTTCCTTGTTTATGCTCCAAGAATCTCAAATGTTCGTGAAGAGAACGTTGTAAATCAGCACATCTCTTTTTAAGCCCAACTTCTTCAGCATCCAGTTCAGAATTTTTGTTGAATGCCTCCTTCACCCTGATTTCAGCTTCTTTCATCAATTTCTGTAAAATTCATGTATATACGCTTTGAATTATCTGTGAGTCAAGTATGTAGCCAGATGAGATATAGCGTATCCCCCATGAATTCAATATTGGAAATGGATATGCAGAAAAGCAATATAATTGTTGGAGATGTGTAAGATGTTTTTTTCGTGAACAGAAAATTAGATCAAAGGAAACAATAACGGATAATGCCCTTCTGTCTGTCTTTATTCCTTTCGAAACCTACATTGCAGCAAGGATTGCTAGGTATTTCTGATGAAACAAATGAAGTTACCTCTTGTTGTATTTTCTCCTTAATTAGCCGATTAATATCAGCTTCTTGAGTATCCTCAGTTAATTCAAGTTTCTTGATTGCTTCGTCAGTTTCACGTTGATCGGTTTCAAGATCATTTTTCCTAATTTAATATTCAAATTTCATTTCTTATCAAATTGTTGAATAAGTAATATTTTTTG